AGAGGACGAGCATGGAAGAAAGGAGGCAGCGAACGGATGATGGGCAGAGGCAGCAGGAGGTGCGCGTCCGGGCGAAGAACGAGAAGAGGACGAGCATGGAAGAAAGGAGGCAGCGAACGGATGATGGTGGAGGTCGGAGGGGTGGCGGCCTCGCCGGAGTGACGAACTCCCGAGGGTGGCGGCGAGCGGGATCGAGGCGTGTTGGGCACTGCCCCTCCGTTTGTGATGGCGCTAGGAGGAGATGGGATCGGGAGGCTGGGGGATCGGGCTAGGGTTAGAGTGAGTAGTGGGGGCGCTGGGCCTTAGGGGTTAAGTGGGCCAACCCACGAGAAATATGAAGAAAAGGAAGGAAGGCTCCTGCATATGGCGTCCGATTTTATTTTTTAAGATATGGCATCCATAAATTAAGGCATTCACCCATGATTAAAGCAATTAGGAAGGCTGTCGCACGGTGCAGGCAAATTAAATGGATTCGTCCATATAGGGAACTAGGAAGAATTATGAAGAAGAGTGCACGGTAGGAAGAAGGCCATTGCTCTATATATTTAAACATTTTGAAATTCGTGTTTTGGAGGTTTAAAAAAATATGAAATTTTTCCTGAGGGTACATATACACATTCCCAATGCCCGTGGCAAGTTTTGGTATAAATCTCGCTTTGTTTTGGGCTATAGAAATAAAAACAAATTTCTGACAATGTATAAGAGAAAAGAGGTGCCATTTTTGTCAGAAATTTCTCTTTTTTGTATTTCTCAAAATAAAAAGTATTTCTTTTTCAGATTTGTACCGGGCCTTAGGAATGTGTGTTTGTATTCACGTATTTGATTTAAGATTTTTTTAGCAACCGAAGTATGTTCTTCGGAAATTTCAAATATCAAGAGCCATGGAGCCCGGTAGCTGCAAGCACTTTTTGGCATGGTGTGGCCAAATTAAGCGGATTCATCGTAATCAAAGGAATGCATGTTGCACGATGCCTTAAATTATATTCAACATACTTTGTGTTGCATGCCTGCATGGATAGGTACAATAATAAAATACCTAAAGAGACGAGGCCTAAGATAATGTTATAAGCATGGCCCTAAAATTGGTTATATCTTCAACGGCAGCCCTAAAAGCATAGCTGGGCTAAGAAACTGCATTCTTTCCTCACTTGAGGCTAAAATACACCTCCAACAGATCATAAGTGATGAAAAAAAGTGTCTCGATGGAAAAATTGCTAAGAGATGCTAATTGCGGCACCACCAGCAGTTCTAAACGCATTGGGATTCTAGGATTCCACTATTTTATCATAGTACGTTGTTTTGAATTCTTGATAAACCATTTTGATATTATTGTACTGCGCTGGTGTACATTTTCATGAACCGGTGTTTTCTTCATATGAAACATATGTTTTATGTTTGCATATATGATTCTCAATTTAATTATAGCCCAGTTTTCTCTCTTGTTGAAACGCACGAGCACAAGCCATGCATCAATTTTCTCTCCCGTTGCAACGCACGGGCATTTGTGCTAGTACTAAAGAAATGGTACATATACTACCTAAAAAGTTGTATATATACTACCAAAAGTGTTCTTGTATGCCACATACTATGCGTACATATAAAAAAAGGGCAGCCCAGTGCCCATAGCTCCCGCTTGAGCAGGGTCCAGGGAAGGGTCCGACCACTTCGGGTCTTTTGTACGCAGCCCTTTCCTACAATTCTCCAAGTGGCTATTTTGAGGGCTCGAACAAGGTAACAGCTTTACCGCTGTGCCAAGGCTTCCCCTTGTACTATGCGTACCTCTACCTAAAATGTATGAAAGACATGGGTGTAAATACACCTGGTTGTATGCATGTATGTATTGTATGTATGTGTGTGTGTGTGCACACGCACACGTGTGTGTACGTATGCACTGTATTACCATTTTTGTTATTTGATCGTTATTTTGACATACCTCCTGTACTTTTGTCAAACACGCACCCAATCCGTGTCGTTATTAGGAGAAGAGCGACTACTGATTTTTCCTTATATATGATCTCTGTAACTTCGTATATGTTTTCTCCAGTCTTCCTTGGCAGGGTTTAAAAGCTGCCACAAAGAAGCAGAAATATGACAAAATAAGTGAGAAGAAGCTTTCAACACCTATCGAGGTTGTTTAAGCTCACATGTTTTAGATTTGTAAAACGTCTTTCTGCTTTTTAAAGCCATTGCTGGAGACTTCTCATGGATTTTCTTGTTACAGGTTTTGTGTAAAACCCATCCTGTGGAATTTGCTTCTTATTTCCACTATTGCCATTCATTGACATTTGATCAACGGCCAGACTACGGTTTTCTGCGACGGCTCTTTAGAGACCTGTCGGACCGTGAAGGTATAGCATTCAGGAGCACTATTGTGTCATCTTTATATTATATTCTACGATATGCATGCAATTGTTCAAGGATTGTTCAATTATTTTGTCGGCCGCAGGGCACCAATTCGATCATGTCTTTGACTGGACGCTGTTGAAGTGTAAGCAAACCCAGAAGGTGAAGGCTCAACAGGTATAATGTGCTTCATTTTTCTTTTATGACGATGAAATATTGTTAGAAACTAATGCATCTTAAACTACTCCCTCCGTTCCATAGTACTCCCTCCGTTCCTAAATATTTGTCTTTTTAGAGATTTCAAATGGACTACCACATACGGATGTATATAGACATATTTTAGAGTGTAGATTCACTCATTTTGCTCCGTATGTAGTCACTTACTGAAATCTCTAGAAAGACAAATATTTAGGAACGGAGGGAGTAGTTGTCGCTGAAACGGATGTATCTAGACGTATTTCAGTGTTAGATACATCCATTTGAGCGACAACTAATATGGAATGGAGGGAGTACAAAACTAGGTAAAATTGTCTGTATCAATGCTTTCTGGGGAACCTGTTAAGGCTCGTTGAGTTTTGAATGGTTTAAAAGTTCTCAAAAAATATGAAACAAATACGGGAACATCACTCGAGTGATATAACAGAATCCAACGAACCGATTGGGAAAATATGAGTTTTTGTGCCCTTGGCAAAAATAGCAAACATTTGAACTCGCTACTGACTCAACTATTAGTTTTTTTCGCCCAAGGCACATAAAGTTGTATTTTCCCAGTCCCACCATTGGATCATCTTATATTATAGGTGTGATGTTGAGTATTTGTTTCATGATTTTTGGGAACTTTACACCATCGAACCTTAAACGAGTTCTGTGGTAATTATTGATAGAAAATCCTTCTACCCTCTGTTCCAAAATAAGAGGGAGTGTTTGTGAACCCTATTTTAGCGCCTTCACTGATTTCTCTCTCTCCCTCTGTCCTGCCAATTACAGCAAGATCCTGGTGTAAGTAGCAGGCCGGTTGCAAAGAATATGGACAAACACCAAGGTAGAAATTTTGTTGTATAAGCACTACAATTTTCCTTGCCGTAGTGAGTTATATGCTTGATTAAGAAGTCCTAAAATATTGGCTGGTCAAATGCCTTGCAAAATACTTCTCGGTCATGTTCATACACATTTTTGGAACTATGGTATTTATCTTTTATGATCAGTTGGAATTTCCATTTTACTTTTAGAATGCTCACTGATAGTTTTTTCAAAAAAAAAAAATCTTGGATGTACAATATGGAGTATCAATTGTATGTAAAGAAGTTAACATATGCCTATTGTGATGCATAAGGTATCAGTGGCTAATATAGCAACTATATGTGTACACAAAAAATAACTATTTTTGCACAGCAAACAGATGGACATTTTTGTCATGACAATTTGTAATTGCTATCACACTATGTACATTGGGATTTGTTTTCCTGATATTTTGGCAACTTGGAAGTATCACGTGTATTTGTTGACCTTGCAACATATGGTTCTCGAATCATATTGGTATTGTCCCTTCGACACCTTTTGTAGTTTGGGAACTACATCATGGTTTCCATTTAATTTTCAGTTAGTGGTTTACGTGCAGCTGAAGCTTCTTGTCAGCTTGAAGCAGAACAACGCCCAGTAATCAGAATGCAAATAAGATCTACTGCTGAGAACAGCCGTTCAAATAATCGACATTCTGATAAATTGGTATGTTTTTCTGTTTCATGCTGATGAAATATCCACGACAGAGTTTTTGTCAGAGTAATTTTTAGTTCTCATGAAGTTTCACAAACAGGAATTGTAGTTTACTAAACTAAAATTGAGAAATTTATGACAGTCTGTCCTCGAATTCTCATTATGCCGTTGTTTTATTAATATCGTGTACGTGCAATGCACGCTAATAATTGGCAATATTTACACTAACATTTGGCAAGATCTTAATTGCACGTTGAAATTAGGTAATATAAATTAATTGGTTGGTGCTGACATTGATATTAGGTATACTATCAATTAGGGGAGGTTGCTAACCTTGTTTAGTGGTAAACACTGGGGAAACATAGACCATTGAATAGGTGCGTTTGAACGTATGAGATATGTTGGATCTCCACAACTTGTTCTTTTTAAATTGGTATAGATTTATGCAAATGATACTCTTCTCTCAATCATTTATATATTTTTGCCATTGCCATCGATTTTCAACCGTTACTGTGTGTGGGGAGTCTGAGAGAGAACAGAGGAATTAGTGCAGGCATGGAGAATTTTGTGCTTGCCGTTGAAGCAATTGCCGTTGGGGTTGGGAGAGGCCAAAAATGGGACGAGGACGACAATACATATCCGCTGGTAGGGATCATATTGGGTCGGTGGTGGTCGGAGTGGTGACGGCGCAAGCAGAAGTAGTGGTGGTGGTGAACTTTGGCATGGCGGGGGTTTTACGAGTGATGGAGCCCAAAATGAGACGGGAATCATAGCTCATGTCGATTGGATCAAGTATACAGGAGGAACTGGAGGGAGGCTTACTGGTGGAGGAGATCGAAGTGTGTGGTAGTGGTGGTCCAGAGATGAGAATTCCTGTAGGGACAAAGGGCATTGACATAAATTTCTGGTAGAAGTTTGGTTTATACTGTTTGGTTCTAAATTTTCTTCTTTCTTACATTGTTGCAGAGGGTGAGTGCTAGCACTGATAAGGAATTGCTGCAATCAACATCATTTGGCCATGCTGGTGCCCCAAGGAAGAACGGATCAATCTCCAAAACACCATGGCTTGTCGATCCCAACTCAGGACCTTCAAACCACCTTTAGCACTCTGATCAGTCAGTTCCTATGTTCATGCCGGTCTATTTAGTAACCATTGGTGAGACTACTTTTGTTGCTGTTATGTTCTTACACCTTTCATGTTTCTATGTTATGGACAACTATGCTGGTGTCTTGGTGATATTTATTCTTCTTCCCTTGTCGCATGTTTGGTCGCATCCTAGTAGTTGTCACCAAACTCCTCATGAGCAATCTTTCAAGCACCACTGATGATATAATGTCGGTAGTGAAGATGCCTCCTGAAACATTCCTCTGTGTGGCGGACACGCAGAACCAACATTGTCAAGCGGAAAGGAAAAAAGGGTTTTCAGAATTAGAGGGAAAATGTGTGTTTGAGGCCTATTCCTCATTGGAATTACCTGGGAGTCAGGTTGTAGTTCTGCTAAGTTCATTAATGGTCCGTTTGGATGTCCGAATTGAATTGGGTTTTGTGGAAATGACAACATGGTTTATTTCGAAAGGTGTTGGTATTGCGTCGAAGTGTTTGGGTGCCGAAGAATCAGTGACTTTGAAACTAAGCCTTCCCTAAATTCAGAAATCCGGGAGAGATTCACGTGTACCAGAGATAAAGAGGAACTAACGGTGGCGGTGGTCGACAGGAAACATGCAAACGGCGGTTTTCGCTCCTGCCAATTCCAATTCATCGATTTCTAGCCCAAATATTGACATCCAAAGGAGGTGTGATTAGACATGGCTGTTTCTAAACAAGCCTTAGGACTGCCGTGCTGTTAATCCTGATGGCCGGGGAAAGTGTTTGGTGTGCCTTAATATTTCTCTCAGTTAATTAACAATTCTTAATGACAAATATATCACAAATTTGGTATTCCCTTCATTTTAGAATATAAGGTGCATAAGTTTTTGTGCAAGTTAAAGTTATGCATGTTTGACCAAGATTATAGAATAACACATCAATATCTACAATATAACATGCACATGTTTGACTTCCAAAAAAACTAATACACCTTATATTCTGGACAGAGGGGATACCGTGGGCCTCCCTAGACAACGAGCCCTCACTCCTGGACTGGTGGCAATCGGCACGCCGCCCCAACGCCCATGCGCAAGGGCCTGGGTACCATGACCCTCCTTGTCCCCTGGATGATATGGAAGCACCGCAATGACTGCGTCTTCAACGGAGCGTGCCCATCGGTGAACGCCCTGCTAACGAAGATCAAGGAAGAGGCCTCCCTTTGGGCAAGCGCAGGCGCACTAGGGCTCAGAGCCATTACCCCCAGACATGGGATGTCCATTAATTCGAAAGCTGTATCCGCCTCCTAGGAGGAATGTAACTACAACTCTCTCTTTTCAATGAAATCAAATGCACGCTCATGCGTTTTCTCAAAAAAATAATCTTACAAAGGCTTATAAATTGGGCTATAGAAGCAATTTTGTGGTTTTGTAAATAATGCTGATGTACACGCCCCTGGCATTTTATCATTAGAAATTTTCTTATTTGGAAAATATTCCTTTTTATTGAATTTACGAGGTTTTAAGCATGATGGCATAATAATGCCCTCATGGAACCTACTTTTGGCTTTCAAACCTTTTCTTCTTAGCTGTAGCAATTTCATATTTTTAGTGTCTCTGTAACCTATTTTGGTGATGGCACTAGGTTCACTCTTTTCTATCTCCTTTTTTGTCTCTTACAGGTCATCTGGGTATGGTTTCAGCTGATAATCCAAAGGCAACATGTAAATTTTAAGTTTCTAAGCTGTCCTCTCTACTAGTTGAATATGTGGTTGATGTGATGATGTGAATTCAACACCACTTATCATGTAAGTAGTCAAGAAGTTTGTCCTTCCATATTATTATGTGCATAATATGTGGAAACTTAGGATTGTTGATACCCTTTTTTTGTGTTCTACCTGAGTGTTTATATCGTCAGCATCATCTGGGCTCATTGCTTCAGGTTCTTTGCCAACTAATATAGATGGTGCTGTTTGCTTAAAAAGAGCTTGGGGACTCTTGTACAACTTTAACTTTAATTATGATCAGCGCTTGTGTGATAATGTTTGCTCCTTTTGGCACCCCAGTGTTATCTCCTGAACTTATAGCTGGTTTGACTTTCAAGTCCACTTGAGTTGCTATTTAATGTGCTGAATTATAAGTTTTTTGTGCCAGATTGGGATTCTTACGAAATATTTTTTTGTGCCAGATGCTTTTAGTTTGCAAGTTGACATCTTATTAAACATAGATGGGCTTTAGCGTCAAATGTATGTGGTTGGATCTAACCAAGCAAGGGTTGTGAAGAGGGCCCTGTAAAGTAGGAGTACATGATTTTGGTTAGCATGGGATGCTTGGATGATTATTATTTTGACTGCTTCGATGCCACTTCTTGTGTTCCGGTGGTTGAAATCCATTGCGATTCTCATGCCCAAAGTGCAATCTGGTGCAGATCACCATGGATGTGATCACATATTTAATACTCCCTCCGTCCAAAAAAAGCTTTCCTAGATTTGTGTAGATATGAATGTATTTAGACACGTTTATGTTAGATACATCCGTATCTAGATAAATCTAAAGCAAATTTTTTGAGACGGAGGTAATATAAGAGTATGACCTTGTCGGACTGTATCATTTGAACCGAGCTAAAAAGGTGCTGATCACCATACATGTAGTTACGTATTTAACATAAATGCATGAGACCTCGTGGATTGCTGTACTATTTGGAGCTGAGCTAAAAAGATGATTTACACGATGTTAAAGTGTTGGCACTGTCATGGTATGGTTTGTGTTTATTTTAGTGTCGGATGTAATTGATATATAATGGTGTAGTTTTGTATATTATCAATGTTCCATTACATTATTTTTGATCATATATTGGTAAAAAGGAGAGCATGTGTTATTTGTAGATTTTAGTGTGTAGCTTCTACTTCTCTGGGATTAGAAGGAATGAAGCTGTAGTGTCGTCGATATTCTAAAGTAAACATGCTTTTTGCTGATGTATTTTGTCCTTTTGTAGCTAATGCCACAGATCATCTGAATCTTATTGATACGTGGATGTTAATCTTGATGTGTTTAGTCCAACGATGCTGGGTTAGCCAACAAATACACAACATAACGGCGAGTTTGGTTGTGCTGTGAATTTTGAAAAAGCTGATGTGAGCTGTGGAAAAACTGGAAGTTTGGTTGAGATATAGCTGTGCACCTATAGATTTGGCATGAATTGTCTTAATGCCTTTGCGGCCTAAAAGAATATCTTCATATGCATTTGGCGAAGCACAGATAGAATTTAAGGTAGGGCGGAGTTTGTTGACACAAAAACAGAGTCTAAGCCCATGCATGCCAATGCATTTATATCATTGTAAATAGGTAGTCAAGTGCAAATGCAAATACATGTCAGGAAAACATGCAACTTGTATTATTAGGAGGCTAAAGCCATCATATATACATGAACAGAGGGAGGCCAAAGGCCAGAATAAATATAACTCTAACACCCCCTCTCAAACTGATGGTGGATCCACAACACTGAGTTTGGAGAGGTAAAATCCATGTTGCGCTCTAGCCTAGGCCTTCGGGAAGAAGTCCGCCAACTGTAACTCGAAAGCCACATACTGAAGAGTAATAACACGGTCTTGCACACTAGCACGCACAAAGAAAGTATCAACACCAATATGCTTGGTAAGCGCTTCACGGGGTCCCGCGCAATATTGATGGCACCTGTGCTGTCTGACAAGAGTGTAGTAGGTGTAGTAACTGAAACACCAAAGTCCTCGAGTAACCAGCGTAACCAAGTCACCTCTGCTGTGAGAAGAGCCATAGCTCGCAGCTCAGCCTCAGCACTAGACCGGGAAACTGCAGTCTGTTTCTTCGTCTTCCAGGCAATGAGAGAACCGCCAAGAAAGACACAATAAGCAAAAAGTGAACGGCGATCCGAAGGATCACTAGCCCAGGTAGCATCTGAATAGGCTTGGAGCTGTAACAAGCTGGAACGAGGAAAGAATAGACGGTGAGAGATCGTGCCACGAAGATATCGTAGAACACGAAGAAGGTGATTATAGTGAACCGAAGTGGGAGAAGAAACAAACTGACTCAGGATATGGATATGATAGGAAATATCCGGACGAGTGACAGCGTGATAGACAAGACTCCCAACAAGATGATGATAACGAGTCAGATCAGACAAGGGCTCACCATCAGAAGCACGAAGGTGAACATTAAGCTCCATAGGAGTCTCAGTAGTGCGCTCATCACTAAGAGCAGCACGAGAAAGAAGATCCTGGATATACTTTTCTTGGGAAATAAAAAACCATCAGAGGTGGAGGAAATCTCAATCCCAAGAAAGTAATGAAGAGGACCAAGATCAGACATAAGAAACTGCTCATTGAGACGGGCTTTGACAAAGGCAATGTACTCAAGATCATCGCCAGTGATGATCATGTCATCAACATATAAAAGAAGAAGAGTGCGACCATGAGCATAAAGGTGCACAAACAGCGCTGGATCATGAACAGTGGGCGAAAAACCAGCTGCAGTGATGACAGAGGCAAAACGCTCAAACCAAGCGTGGGGGGCTTGCTTAAGGCCATAGAGAGAGAGTGACGAAGACGACAAACCATGCCATCAGGAACCGAATACCCAGGTGGTGGCTGCATATAAACTTCCTCACACAACTCACCATTAAGAAAGGCATTCTTAACATTAAGCTGAGACACAGACCAGTGGCGAACAGAGGCCACGGCGAGAAGTGTGCGGACAATGGTCATATGGGCCACAGGAGCAAAAGTCTCGTCGTAATCATGACCATGCTCCTGCTGAAAGCCACGAGCCACAAGACGAGCTTTATAGCGCTCAAGATAACCATCCGAGCGAGTCTTAATCTTATAGACCCACTTACACGTGATTGGACGAACATGTGGAGGAAGAGAAACCAGATCCCATGTGCCGGTGCGCTCAAGGGCAGCAATCTCCTCTACCATCGCAAACTACCATTCAGGATGAACAATAACATCTCGATAAGAAGTCGGCTCAAGAACGGTCGAAAGACC